TTTTTTTTATTTACGTGTAATATTATTTTTTAAAGATTGTGTGGTTAAAAGTAAGAGAGAAAATTTTAATTTAATGTAATAAGAAATAATGAGGCTCAAACGGGGGCATAATACGATTGGACAGTTCAATTCTTATGAGAGAGAAGGGAATGTGACATGGTATCAAGAGAGAGAAATGTGGGATAATAAGTTCCACATCACCAATGTTCCATCAATATGATAATAAATTGCATTACTCTTTCATAGAATGAAAGAATAGCTTTTAACTTCTAAAGTTGTGGTTTTAGATATACATCAAGGCATGATTATGCTCATGCTCGAGATGAAGAAACCTCAAGTTAAGTAGGAATGGTTTGAGGAGCTATACACAGGAATATGATTTCGATGCACTAGATATTGATTTTCTTTTAAATTAAATTAGGTATTCACGAACTCCTCATAGAACATATATTAATACTTAGTTGATTCCTAGTATTTATGCTATTCCATGCCTCTAGTTAATTGTCAGGTCAACTCATTATTGTCCCACATTTGGCCAAGGTGCTTTTATCATCGCTATCTATTTCTTTCTCGATAACTTCAAGCATTCTTTAACTATTTGCTAAGTTCACCCGTCTTTCTCCTATGATATGTATTTGCTATACATCTTTCTTTCGAGTCTTAAACAGAAATTACATCTCATTTGGAATTGCATTTTCAACAACCCAATTGTCAAGTGATGACAGTACATCTTAGCGTGGCAAAGTTCAAACACAACTAGGCTCTCACTCTCTTCATGCTCTCGTGGAATATTCATATAATATATAGTATAATGTAATCTAATAGTTGGCATAGGCTTGTTTATTTTAGTTAATAAATATTGTTGGAAATAATTCTCAAAAGTTACACATTAGCATAATTGCATGCACTATGTTGTATAATATATAAAAACTTTTTCAAAAGACAATTGTTTAGGTGAAAACATCATAAGAAAGCAAATATATGGTTTTCAATTCCAAATCATATTAAGTAATAGTCAATGAAGGTGGCTCTCCACCAATATTAACATCAACATCAAGCAAAATGACAGCATAAATCAAACATCTCTCTCTTTCAACTAATGTAATATGATATGATAGAATTATGTGTTATTTTTTTGCTGTTCCTAAACATTGTTTCATAGTGTTATACCAAATAATTGATTGAGAATATCCTGATTAATTATATTCTAGTTAGGTCATAGTTGTATTATCAACCGTCTCGTCGCGACCTATCACAAGATTATTGTATTACGTTGTATTCTTAATAGATTTCCGTTTATCCCTTCAAGAACTTCAATATCTCTACTAACTTCTCGTTACTTGCTTTTGCGTTATATGCGATGAATATCACAAACACAAAATTACGCTAAGTTTGCTTTTTCAACACACTGTATTAGACTTTTGAAGGGAACTAGTTTAGAAATATATTAATAATATTAGGTAGATGATGACACGGTGGATTTAATTGATAATGTTCTTTAATTTTTCATTCGAAATAATGTTACTTATATTTTTTGTTCTCTTATCTCGTTTCGTCCATCTCCAACATCCATAGTATTTTGTATGTACAACACGTTCCACACCTCAATCCATCACAATACCATTTACTTGAATTATCCATTATAATTTTATATTAATTTCCTTGATATGCTTTCCTGAGAATGCATATTGTTAAATAGTAAACTTTGGTTAATTTTGAATTACTATATATTTTTCAAAAAGAAATATAAGAATTTCAATTAAAAGAACATTATTTGTTATTTTTATTATTTATCCTTGTCTTTAACGTTACACACATATTCACATGATTTTTAAACTTATATGGACATTGATCTAAAGAAAGGTAAATGCTATTGGTCATACAATTGAATCAATACTAAAAAATTGGAAACAAATGTAAGAAAATAATATAGGCACGTGTGTAATTTAGGAGAAATTGCTGTCCTCGTCTTGACTTCATTGAACTCTAATGTTTGGTAAATAATAATTTTTTTTTTTTTAAACTGATAAGTTAAATTAAAACCAGCAAAACAACAAAAAGAGGAGTTAATGTACTCTCAGGGTTGGAATACAAGCGGGCCCCACCCATTTTTACATTTTGCAGGCAATATTAGACGTTGTATGGTATAATAGTTAAAATTTTAATTTTTTTAAAATTCGTAAAAATTGGAATATCAAGTCGACTTGACCCATTTTTGCATTATTTTAAAAATCTATAATTCTTATTAAAATTAAAAGAGAATAGACGTCCATGTCTCTAAGTGATTAAATAGAAAAATCATTCAAGTATACCATACAATATATTACCATTTGGAAAATAGTCGAGATAAGTTGGAGCTCCACCATCAAATTAAATCACATAATAAATGAACAGGACAAGCTTTAACTCTTACCATTTAATTAGAATTCAAAGTCACAAAGGATACTAAATAACATAACTTACAACTTGACGTAAATGAGTCCGTTACAAAACCAATTTGACCTTACTTTGAAGTTCAAGGTGATAACATAAAGGCTAAAAAATATGCAGAACATTTGGTCACCAAGGTGATATCTCATAAGCATTGGGGTCCACAGAAATGTGCTCTACGTGGACTCTACTCTTCATAAACAAATAACGATAAAAGTAATACTATTTATCACTAAATGGACTTCTAATGCAAAACGAACCCATGTTACATAGTATTATATTAACTATAATGATCACACGCTTCGTGGGCTTTATTTCTTTTAAGTTAGAGCGTATTTGCTATATATACTTAAAGATAGGTGTTGTAATATGCAATAACCAAAATATTTACATTTAGCACATTAAATTGCTATTGTTCGAACTCCCCTTACATATTAACCAAACAATTCATTTTGTAGATTTCAAATATAATTTACTCCTTGAAGTAGAAGTGAGGTTGATCAATAAAACTTTAATGTTTGGTTGTTGATATACATTTTATTTATAATTGGTTACACGTTAACTTATGGGTTTAAAAAATATGCATTAAAGGTGCATTGGTATATTTTTTGAAATTAAACCTAACAGATTTTGATTCTTTTGTTTGTAACTATTATGCAATATTGAAAAACCTTAAGTATTTATATCTATCAATTTTTTTATTAAAAAAAAAATTATGTTTTTATGTTTTATAATATAATGAATAATTTAATATAACCAAGGGAGATTAGGCATTCGAGTCTTGAAATGAATAAACCGTCTGGAAAATAGCTTAAATGAGTTGGAGCTCGACCACTAAATTAATTCACTTACTAAATGAATATAAAGAGCTAGATATCTACCATTTAATCATGATTTAAAGTCACAAAGATTATAAAACAACGCATTTGTAACCTCATATAAATGAGCTTGTTCCAAAACCAACTTTATCTTGCCTAGAAATTCGAAGCGACAACATAAAGTCTTGAATGAATTAAATTGTTACGAAATCATTTTTATCTTCGTTAGAAATTCGAGCGATAACTTAACTTCAGGGTATGATTGATAAATATTATAATATGTGAAACAAGCTTGATACTGCCTAGAAGTTCGAGATGATAGCCTAACGTCTTAATGTACAATCAATAATTGTGCATGCAATAACTCGGACATTAATGTGTTAATGCAGTAGGTTGCAATTGTTCGAAACCATCTTAATCTTGCCTAGAAGTTTAGGGTGACTACCTAAAGTCTTAGAGTCTATTTGGGAGTGATTTTGAGAATTGATTTTTTGACCATTAGAAGAAAAGTGGAGTCCACTAGTGAGAGAAAAAGTCAAATATGACGGCTGGAATAATGAAATAACGGTTAAAAAATCAAGTTTTTTGGTGAAAAAATCGAGTCCAAACAAGCTCTTAATGTAATCAATTTGTTACAACCAACTTCATCTTACCCTGAAGTTCACGATGACGACCTAACATCTCAAGGCATGACCAATGTTATAACATGCAATAACTCAAAAATTTGTTAATGCATTAGACTGCCATTGTCCCATTATGAAACCACGCGTGACCTTGCATTGAAGTTCAAGATGACAACCTAAAGATGACAACCTAAAGTTTAAAAGAAATGAACTTGTTACAAAATCGGCTTGACCTATTCAAAAGTTCAAAATGACACCCTAAAGTCTAAAGCTACGTTGACTGATGCTATAACATGAAATAACCCAAACAAAAATATATCAACACATTAAATTGTTGTTTCGTCTGAATCCACCGAACACGACTAACCAAAACAACTCATCTTATAGATTTGAAAGAAACTCTAAAAACAATGCAAATTTAATTCAAGTGTTACCGTCAAGTATCAAAGCAAGCGAAAAAATCCTAACTTTTATTTTTAATACTATTGAATCTAATCCAACGTATCAAACATACACTAAAAAAATTCAAGTTTTTTATTCTTCAATTGAGTTCAGTCCAACTTCACTAAAATGGCACAAATTTTGGGTGAAATTAAGTGCAATGGTCAAACAGGGGACGCTTGAATAATTTCCCCCTTGTAGCAGGTTTGCATGTTTTGTCCATGTGTGTAAAGACAATCCCATCACATATAGATATAGAGAGAGAGGATATAGATATAGAGCGAGAAGAAAGTTTCTACTCTCTCCCCAAGGCTGCAGGTTTGCACTGATACCAAAAGTTGTGGTTTCAAGTTTAAAGAGCCATCTTTGAACAGTACTGCATCACCACCACCAAAGCAAAAATTTGTTTTTTTTGTTTTTGCTCCACCACCTTCTCCTCCACCAACCACCACCTCCGCCCCTTTGACCACCGCCTCTGCAAGTCCTATCCCATCAGTTATGACGAGAGAGAGAGCAAAAAGATGCTCAAAAATATTAATGGGAAATTGAAAAAATATACTAAAATCTCATTTTCCCCTTATAAATACACACACTATCTCTCTACTGTATTCTACTGTCCCTCTCTCTCTATAGTCCATACTCACTCACACACTTCCCTTAATATGGTATATAATGATTTACTCAAATATAAGCACCAGCCCATCATTACCTTTTATAAAATGGTTAAATCTTAGCCACTCTCTTCCTAATAATTCCCCAAAATATACAAAAATCTCGTCTTCCCCCCTCTAATCGCTCTCTCTCTAGTTCCTCTCTCTGAAAAGGCTTTTAGTCCTTCTTGAGGGCTCTTCTTAAAACCCTACACCTTCTTCTGTGTGTATCTTCATTTCTTTTTCTCTCTTCTCGGGAGGTAAAAAAGAAACCCTTTCTAGGAACTGGTAAGGAAAAATACAGAACTCCATGGATACATATGAGGCTACTAAAATAGTGATGTCTAGGATCCAGAGTTTGGATCCAGAAAACGCTTCAAAAATCATGGGCTATATACTGATACAAGACCAAGGGGAGAAGGAGATTTTGAGATTAGCTTTTGGCCCTGAAGCTCTTTTGGTATCTTGCATCAACCAAGCAAAAGCCTGTTTGGGGCTTCCTTCTAATAGCCCTTCTTCTAACCCTTCAACTCCGTTGTCAAATCCCATGAGGCCAAACAACCCATTTCCTCAAAATAAGCCAAGAATCTTGATTCCCAACTATGGGTTCCATCCGAGTAACCCTTCTTCACCTGCTGCAGGTTTTTCAAGAAGTAGCCCAAGACCCATTTCTTATGCTGCTGTGGTAAATGGTTGTACTAATGATAATGAAAATAGTGGTTCAGGGGCCTCAAGTTTGCCTTTTTATGGTGGGAATGATTTTGTTGATGAGTCTGGTGGGGAAATGCGTCATCAAGTTCAAGAGTTACCATTTCTTGATGATTCCATGGTGGATCCAATTATCAGTCCCAGTGGGAGGAGTGATTCTCTGGTTTTCCCTTATGGTGAGGATGTGAACGGCATTCCTTCTCCTCATCCACACCCATTTCACAGGAGAAGTTGTTCAGTGAATGATGCTGCTTTTCTTTCTGGTTTTGAGGATGGAAGTGGTGGTGGTGGTGGTTGGAGGCCTTGCATGTACTTCGCTAGAGGGTTTTGCAAGAACGGCGATAGCTGTAAATTTTCGCACGGTGGGTTTGGCAGTGAAGGAATTGAAGTGGGATCCCCGAGCAAGATGGATTCAGGGCCATTTGACGAGTTCTTGAGAATGAAGGCCCTTCAGCAGCAGCAGAGGTTTGCACTCTCGCCTCATGGGAGTCACCACCCTCTTGCTTATATGAAATGCCCCAGCTTCTTGAATGAACATCAGAGGTAAATTCTATGGTAATTAACCCTTTTTCATTTATCATAAAAAAAAAAGGTTTACTTTTTGATTGAGACTGTTGTTTTGTAATTCTGGGTATTTCTGGTTTTGAGTTTCTTTCTGGTGTATTATGCAAGAGCCTTGCAATTTGAATGTTTATTATCGCCCATGGATTGGTTCCATATTGGGCTTTTATTCTGTTTTGGAAAGTTCAATTGTATGGAAATTTTGTTAATTTTAATGCATTCTTGTTTTTTATAAACTATTTATGGTGTCTACCTCAAGGTCTACTCCCGTCACTCCACTGCAGGAATCAATTACTAGTTGTAGTCTTTAGAAGCCTAGAATGTAAATGTTTGCTAATTACAATTTTATATTGTTGTGAATTTTGTCATTGGGATGGAGTTTTGATGTTGCGATTTTGAGTTTGATTGGTTCTTGTGATATCTTATGGTAAGTGGCATTGTAGATCTGCTGCGGCTGCGCTGGTTATGGGTGACGAGCTCCATAAATTTGGCCGTTGTCGACCTGAGAGGAACGATTTTTCAGCAATGGGATTTGTTGGAAGTGCAAATTCAAGTGCCAGACAGATTTATTTGACATTTCCTGCTGATAGTACATTTAAGGAAGAGGATGTTTCAAATTACTTTAGGTAAGCAGTTCTTGTTTGGTTGAGATTCCGATTCTTGTAGTTGCAAGCCAAATGTGTACTGACTATGCGTCTATAGTATGTATGGACCGGTGCAGGATGTTAGAATTCCATATCAGCAGAAAAGAATGTTTGGATTTGTTACATTTCTATACCCAGAGACTGTGAAGCTCATTTTGGCTAAAGGGAACCCCCATTTTGTGTGCGACTCCCGAGTGCTCGTAAAACCCTACAAGGAGAAGGGAAAAGTCCTTGAAAAGTAAATTTTCCATTCTATCGATTTTTCTAGTACTTCTTTGCTTTACCTGGTAATGATATCCTGGTGTTAATTGAACAATCTGTAGGAAACAGCAGCAACAAATGGAGAGAGGAGAGTTTTCTGCTTGTTTAAGCCCTTCCGGACTTGATTCCAGAGAGCAATTCGATGTCCCCTTTGGTAAGCATTCAATTCAGGCTTCTTATTCGTCCACAAGTAAATTCGTCTGTTAACTGAATCTCCTTTTGTAATTCCTCTTAGGGTCGAGAATGTTTTACAACGCACAAGAGATGATGATCCGGAGAAAATTTGAGCAGGAGGCGGAATTACACCACGCTATTGATCTTCAAGGCAGAAGGATGATGAACATGCAACTGATGGACCTGAAAAATCAGCATCACCATAATCATTTCCTGCCAAACCTGTCGACCAGCACCCCAATTGGCTCCCCAATACAGTCTCAGTTACAAATGAACCAGAATCTCATTCTTCAATCTGATGCTGCTAATCAAGAATTTTCGGAAGGTTAGCTGATTGAAATATTTATATTTTGTTAGTTTTGGCTGGCAAAATTGTTATCCAATGATGTGCCATATGCATTATCATAGAAGTCTATTTGGTAGGAAGTGACCATTTTTTGATTTCTTTGTTATAGAAATTAATGGTATTCGGGAAGCTGCTAAATTTCCAGCTGTTGCTGCCAACGATGAGGGAGCAACTGAATTTGGCAAGAAAAGTGAAAATGCCAATAAGGAGGATCAAACCAATGCCGAAGACACTGATCTTCCTGAGAGGTAGTGAAAATCAATGTTTTCTTAGATGAAATTTTAGGCTATTCACTCGAACATCCCTTCTATATGTGTAAGAAGATAGGTCGGTAAAGGTGTTCTCATGTAATTATTGCAGTAAGACATGCACCGTGTAAGATAACTTGGTGTTTGCTTATTATTCTCCCATACTAATGGCATGACCTTGAGTTTTGTCATGGATGCAGCTTGGAGCACATCCTTCCCGATAACCTCTTTGCCTCTCCTACAAAACTAGCTGCTGAACATCAGTCGGTTTTTGCCCGTGCCTCAGCTGATACCGATGATGGTATCACTGTTAGTACATCATCCCCTAACATCCCCGTGCTGCCCAACTCTTCTGCTCTTAACATGGCTGCTCTTAAATCGTATTACTTCCAAATGCCAAGGTAGCACCCTTATTTTTACTTTTACCTTTTGTTCCCCAGTTTCACCTGTTGAAGAGCTTAAAATCTAGTACTGTTATTGACCGCCAGGTTTTCATCTGGGCGAGAAGCCATTGAAATGTAGGTGTTAGAGCTGAGCATGGCTGGCAAGGAGGGATTAACTTAGCTTGGTGAGAACAACTTCCTTGAACTTCGGGATCGGGTCGGCTAAACGATTATACCACTATCATTTTATCATATTTGTGTTCTGTATGCTGATTTTTCTTGTTCATAAGATTCTTCTTTTTGCATTTGTTTATGCAGGAAAAGTATGAGTAGCATATACAAAGAAGTAAAATGTCCTCTAGCTCTGTATAGCCAAACCATACTCACAACAGAAGAAAAAAAAGATCAGTAAGGAAAGACCTCAAGACTGTTGTCATCATCAATACCATACTATCATATTATTCAAAACAATACATAATGCATAGGTAAAGGACATATGAACTAATTTATGAGAGTGGGGTCTCTCTTTGTTCATTTTGTACCCTCTGTGTAGTTGTGTGCTGGACCACACTGAACAATTTAGCTTATTTACAAAGGCAGTAGCAGTAACTCTCTTACCATATAATGGTAACTTTATTTTCTCTTTGCCTAGTTTCATTAAAAGATCATGTCAAATTAAATAGTGCTCGACTGGATAGCACGATGAAGAACACTTCAGCTTATTTCTTTCTCAATACTGTCGAGTTGATTACTTTATGCTTCCAAGGGAGATTGTTGTACATTAACAGCGACCCTGTTGAGCGTAACAACTATGAAGATTCAGAGAGTCAAAAGGGTAAAAATAATTGATGAAAATAAGATTTGAAGTGGATTGTAAAGCTGGAAATTTCTGTCAGTTTTAATTGTCATCTGATGCTGTACAGCCTTTTATGATCCATTAAATCATCACATGAAGGAAAACAGTGAAAAGTGATGACTCAGAAAGAAAGCAAAAGGAGAAAGGAAAAGAAAATCCAAAAAATTAGTAAAGTGAAGGGTGAAATAAAAGGGTATTCTTTTATGCCATTAAAGTCTACTTTAGGGGACTCTTTTGTCTATGAGGTGGGGAGGGGTAGCGTGTGGGGTAAGGGCCACATACTCACATGGGGACTGACACTGGTTGAATGGTATCAGGGTACCAAAAAACACTCCTTTCACTTTCTTTCTAGCCTTTTGCCTTGTTCAAGATTTAATTTATATATATGTGTTTGGCCTTTTGTTTTATGGGTTCTTGTGCTCCTTGTGTTCTTGTATGCTTTTTGATAATTACTTATTTTACTTGGCTCACGGGCTTTTTTTTTTATTTTTTGCTTCTTGCTCTCAAACCCAGTGTTAAATTTGTCTTTTACTCATATCTATGGATTTTTATGGTAATTTTGCATGTGTTTGTAGTGTTCCAATAAGTCATAAATAATTGCTTCATAAATGAGGACAATCTGGGTGGAGTTGCTTATTTTTGCATCCTTTGAATTACTAGAAATTAATTCTTAACCTTCTTGGGGGCTTCGTTACGTGATTACTCTGTCTGAAGCTTATAAAAAGTAAAAGTAGCACCTTGTTTGGATAATAAGTAAAAAAATCTACACAAAAGGTAAGTTTTGAACTAATGAATGTTCAAGAAAAAAGTAATTTCTAAAAAAGTTTAAACATGTTTGGCCATGGCCTTGCATTTATTATCTTCTGGATGTATCTTTAGTGCCGCTGCACGTGAACTACTCAACCTTTAAAATGGTCATTCCTAAAAAAATAAAAATAAATAAAAAAATAAAAAGGTTGAACCCCAGCCTTGAGGGCCCTCGCCGCCCTGCCTCTAGAGCTTTGTGAGGGAGGTAAATCGCGGGATATACCCCAGTAGGTCAAGGAACAAGAGCTGTCTGTACATTGTGCTTGCAAGAGTTCAATTTCATGTTTTAGGAATCGAACCCTCACATTGCAGCAGTCAGTAAGATGTGAGATAACCTCGCTCCTATCCTTTGCACCACTAGACTATGTCCCGATGAACTTAAATGGTCATTCCTTGATGCCTTTTGTCATGTAACATTGAGAGAAAATGAATACATCGAGATAAACAAAATTGAACATAATCATCGTCAAATATTTTAGAAGTATTATTTTTTAAAGTAATTTTTTTTTTTTAATTTTTTGGCAAGGAAATTTACCTGTTTTTCTATACTAGGGCAGCATTTCTAATAAATAAAATCCTCAATTTTTTTCATTTTCAATCCTGAAAATCATGTTTTCTTTAACCTTTCATTTAAGAAAAGGTCAGGACTTGGGAGTGTAATAATTTTTAAATATTTTTATGTGATCAAGAGGGCAACTTGACAATTTTATATTTAATTAAGAACATAACATGTTAATTTTGGATTAGTAGTCAGCATAACAAGGAATTGGGCTCATTTGTTATGAAAATTAATTTTCTTTAAACACGCCCAAATCCTAATCATTATCGAGTTATGGTTTGCAAGAAATAAGGTATTTGCATATTATATAGGTTGTCTATTATTGATAATAATTTTATAGGTCAAGCGCAAAAGATTCATCCAAAAGTTTAATCTTAAGAAAAATAAATAAATAAATAAATAATCAACTACATGAATATTTATATTAACAGCACATTATGTGAAGTGAATAATGGAGCAACAAACATTAATTGCGCGATTAAATATGTTTTAAGTCTCCTTTTTTAGTGATTTTTATATTACATTAAGATCTCTATAAAAAATAATAATATTGGGATCGAGAAAAAATATTACTTTAAAGGGGTTTTTATTTTTGATATTATTTATCAATTGATTATAATAAAAAATGTGATTGATGTTAAGTGCCTCTAGAATTATCCTAGTGAAAATGATGCAAATAATGGAATAGCTTATGACAAAACTTATTGAATATGACCATTAAATATGATCATGATTTAGATAATAATTATGTTTTATATATGTTCCTGGAAAAGGAAGTCTATTAAACGAAAGAAAATATATCAAATGTGGATGTTGAATTTGATTTGAATACGAAGACATGAAAACAACTTTAAATGCACGTTTTTCAAAGATTTGAATTTGATATATAGAAAATAATGAACGATGATTTGAGTTTATCTAAATGTCTATAACTTTCGTATTTAGCATAAAACATTAGGATCATGTCAAGTCGAACTTAATTTTTAATTATATTTTTAGATTTCATTAGAATTTAAACAAAATTTGAATTTTAAATTTCAAACTTACTTTCCACCAACTATTGAGTCGTCCAAGGCTTTCTTTATAGAATGTTAGGCTTAGGCCCCATTAATTTTAGTCAAAGCTTTAAATGAGAAATATATGTAATATAAAAAACTTCAAAATAGGGAATATAAAAGCTTTAAATGCTTTAATTCTTTCAACAGAAAATTATTACACTCGATAAAAAGAGTTGAGGCAATTGATTCAAGAAGAACCAGTAGTACCTGCATGCAATGCCACCAAAGAGGCATAAATACCATCTTTATTTTTTATCAAATTTTCGTGTTTTCCTTTTTCTGCAATAACTCCATTGTTAATAACTGCAATCAAATCTGCATTCTTAATTGTAGATAGCCTATGAGCCACCACAATGGTTGTTCTGTCCACCATAACTTGGTCTAAAGCATCTTGAACGACTTTCTCGGATTCAGCATCAAGAGCGCTGGTCGCTTCATCAAGTAGCAATATCTTTGGCGCCTTCACTATAGCACGAGCAATCGCAACTCGCTGCTTCTGCCCACCAGATAACTGGATCCCCCGTTCACCCACCATCGTGTCGTACCCCTATGTTTTTTCAAAGTTATATGCATTAGATTGTCAGGACTACAAGATTCAGCTCATAGAATACTTACCTGCTGTAAACCACTGATGAAGTTGTGAGCATTTGCTAACTCTGCGGCAGCTATAATTTCTGCCTCTGTGGCATTCCCTTCCTTGCCATATGCAATGTTCATCCTGATCGTGTCATTAAATAACGCGGGTTCCTGGCTTACAAGACCCATCTGCTGCCTTAACCATAGCAGCTTTAGCTTGTGAATTTCAACACCGTCTAGTGTAATCACACCGGAATTTGGATCATAAAATCTTTGCAGTAAGGAAACCACTGTCGACTTTCCACTCCCACTTTCTCCAACAAGTGCCACATTCTGACAAATAAACTTGATATTGTAAGTGTTCAAATAATATAACTTAGTGTTCCAAGAGCTCAAATGATTGTAATTTACCTGGCCTGATTGAATCATCAGGCACAAGTCTTTAAAAATTTGGACATCAGGTCTACTTGGATACTTAAAACTGACATGCTGAAACTCGATATCTCCCTTGACATTCTCCAACACGGTTCCTGAGTTGTCAGTAGTGTCTATTTTTGATCGCTGGTCAAGAAGTGCAAATATAGAGGCAGCACCACTCTTGGCTTTACCAGAATCTGGTGCAAGGGCACCCGATTGAGATATTGCAACAGCCATCATACTGAGACCATAGAAAACCTATGGAGCAGCACAAATGTTTTTCCATTGTAATAACTCGTCATCATTACCAAGAAACAGGAAAATAATTTACAATATGCAAGTAGTAGTGTGAAAGCTTACTCGAAAAACCTCACCGAAGGTTATCTTTCCAGCCTCAACAAGTTGAGCTCCAGCATAGAAACTAGTTGCATATACTGAATATAGAAAGAACAAGGACATTCCATAACCTGCTCCACTGAGTAAACCTAGTTTAATTCCTGATTTCATTGGAACTTCGCACGTCTTTTTGTACAGTTCCGTCACCTTCTCTTCAGCACAAAAAGAAGCAACAGTTCTAATACTTCCAACTGCATCACTGGCAACTTGAGTTGCATCTTCATAAAGTTTCTGTGTAAAATTTAGATTTATTTAATTGAGCATATTAGCATTAGGAAACAGATTGATTCGAAGACTTCAACTTTTTGCCACAATGGTTCATTCGAAGTTGAACAATCACCATCTCAAGTACCAAATGCTTCCCATTTTTATGGTCCTCTTACTCCAGTCCGTGTATAGAGTGAAAAATGATTGAAACTGACATTGATGAAAATTTAACGATTTTTATTTATTTAACAGAGGTCTGTATAGAAGGCGGGCCTTAGTCCAAAAGTAAGGTTGGTCTGTTGTCGAGGGTTGGAGCCCTGGGAAACAGCCTCCCCTTTCGTAATAGTAGGACTGCATACATCCAACTCCCTCTAGATCTTGCAGTGCTGGGAAACTAGTGCTCTAGGTATGTCTTTTTCTACAGGGTATAGATATTTTAGATCTTACTGGTTTCCTGAGTAGAACAAATGTATACACGATCTGTGATTTACATGTATCATCAATCCATATAACGCAAGCAAGTGAAAGTTACTACTTAATAAATTATTCTTTCCATGCTAAAGCAACCTACATTTTCTGTGAAAGACGACCTATAACCATCTTAGAATGATAAACTTGTATAACCATCAGAATTCAGCAGAAAATTTATCTCCGTCGCACAAAAGTTTGAATCCATATGATTCATTAAGATGGGAGATAGTGGAGGGGGAGTGGTTAAGGCTTTAGTTTAGTGAGCTAACCTTTGTGTCGCCACTAAATCCATCTATAAACTTCATCTGAAGATATCCATTTAGTCCAATAAGAGGTACCATGATCATAATTATAAGGGATAATTGCCAGCTTGCCCCGAAACCAATG